ATCCTCCGACACATCAAACTCGACCTCACCCGGAAGTCTTTTATCTGCCTTAACAGCTGAAACCGTATTCTCCGAGCTAGCAAGCGGTGTTAAACCGCAGGAGATACAATTCGCCACTAAGGCTACGAGTGCAACTAGAAACATCACCGAATTATAGTCACCTGAGTTTCAACATGATAACTCAATTGGAATATTATGGTGCGTTTAAAACACACCCAAGCAAAAAAGATTTGTACATTAAATACCTGATCTCGACTCGTTAATGTACTTCCTTATGACACAACAACTGCTATATCATAACTGACGTCTACAGGCTAGACGACTTCGCATGTGCTATTTAAAAAAGCAATAATGCACAACATTGCTCACGTATCTAAGCCACAATTTAGTGTCAACGCTACGAGAGTTAATTTGTAGACTAACTAGGTCTATTGCCTCACAGCATATCAGAATCTTATCGATAGGAAAATACTTTAAGACGTAATTAAGTGGAAGCGACGACTTGTTTTGTTCCGCAAATGTTAATCGCTATACAATTTCTGGAATTAAAATCATATGGTCACATGAAATAAATTATTTCGTTTGTCCACAGAGTTAATCAGAAAATGTTTATGCTTTTGGATTCTATCGAACATTAGTATACCAGCATATGCCTGCAGCGTAAGAGCGTTTTTTTTGCGATTTCTATGAAGAAGTTAATTTCACTTCTTTAAATCCTCTCCAAGACGTTCCTAAAATCAGACAATGGAAAACTCCGTATTTAACATTTTTATGCTTTTTCATAATGTTGTCACCCGCTTTGCCTTTATGAGCCAAATATTAACAACAGCTCGCTAAATCGCCTCAAACACTGATAAATGCGTTGGCCATATCAGCAGATGACGTGATGGTTTATCATTTGGTTGCGGTAAAACTTAACTTAGCTCTTCGAATGGAAATGAAGTTTTCAATGACAAATTGATACAATCATGAATACACTTAAGGTTCTCCCCATAAAAATCCGCTTCGTACTTTATCAACAGATTAGCTAGGATTTGGAACCAGTAGACGTTTGAATTGATTAGTTTTGTTTTTGTTTCTGCTGCAGTCCGTTTCTAGGCTTAAGATGACGACCAAATTTAGCGTAGAAATCAATGATGCAAAGCGAGAGTCACACAGTTATATCGCACCTCATGATATACGGAAGGTTATTTAAAGCTGTGCAAAATAGCTGTGCAGGCATTTAAAACTCTTCGGGTTTGTTCTGCTGCATCAATGATATACGGTCGCCTCATGCAAATTGCTTTATTCAGTCGCTACTTATTTGTTGTCTTTGCACATTTCAAGCGCGAACGCTGAGAGGTAGAAACTAAGCAAGACTAAATTCCGTTGCGGTTTACTATAAATTCCACTTCGAGCGCAAACAGATTGCTATCAGCAATAGTAGTATGAATTTTGAAAGTGAACTTCAGGTAATCTATGTGATCGCATTTACTATAGGTGCTAAAGCATAGAAAGAACAGGATGATCTCATTCTGTAACGAACTACGCTCCGCTTCAACGATAGGCGAAGCACATAATTTTTTCGCGCTTTGTAGAGAAGAATTTCGTTAGTTAATTTGCTAGCATTCTGCTCATGCCCACTTCCGTCATAATAAAAGTTCTGCGGATCCCGAGTGTAATCCTCGGGTAGATCTGGCTGAACGACATCTTTTCGCCAGCCATACACGGCAATAAAAATGCAGCAAATTTTGCTTGTTGTTCAACCAGTAGTTGAAATTAGCATAGTAACAATAGGGTCATAGCACGGTTCCGACTGCCTTTGGAGAAGTGATAGCATCAATTCTGCGTATAGAATTAGTAACTTCATCTGAGTCCACCCATCTCGTATCATTAAACGAGATTTTTCAGCTCTGAGATTTGCATAAAAAATGTAGTTTCCAAAATTTTCTGCAGTAGTGCCTAAAAGTACATCTTCCGGTATAAGGCAACAAAAACCATCTTTGCTTATGTAGAGATTATCATCGAGTTTCACGGTTCTTTCCTTCTCTAGGAATTCAACTGCGGGCCAACGATCATTGTTGTTATCATATGCTGAATTCTGCTAGCTTGTTCAAACCCAGAGAAGTGAAGGTATGCCTCACAGGAGGAGCTTGATTTTTATCCAATAGTTCAGCTACCCACGGGTACATAATGACAGTTAAATCGAACATTTTTCCGTAACAGCTTTCATCGTGATGCGGTAATGCATTCGCATCCGAAGACATGATACTAGCAGTTCGAATTCTGGTGTCGCTCAGCAATCAAACTTAACCTTTGTAGCTGATCAATCGTTTTCTGGGCAGTTTTCTGGTAGACCTTCAAGTAGTTTGACAATAATGTTTCTAAGCTAGTCTTGATGTCATCGAGTGCAACGCAAGGTGCGAAAACCTGCTCGTCAATGACGGCTACATATTGTACAGTATTACTCCTCTTCGGTTTTCTTTGCGGGGTGCGTCGCAAAGCATGTTTCTCTCTTGTTAGCGATGCTGCCTCCTGAGCAGAGACAGTCTTTAGTGTTTCTGCATACAGCGTATAACAATCCTCTGCGTAGCCTATCAGCGTATTCTTAATCCGGTCTACGATTAGCAATCGTTCTTGTCCTTGAAAAAAATGGCGGCAAAGCAGATTTAGGAGAGTTTGGTGTCAACATCTGATTCTTCTTGTCCCAGTAGATAGTTCTAAGCGACCCTTCTTTGTAGAATGTCCTACCTAACGCCTGGCAGATTCAAAGTGTACATCTATTTAGGATCCTTTCCATTCCATATATCAATCTCTATCCATTAGCTCAATCGCAAGTACCAAAATTGAGGAAAACATGGTTTTCCTTAATGGAATGATTTGTTATTATTGATGGACTGGGATACTATTTGAATATTGCACGCTCACAGGATAAAATTGTCTAGCTGCGGCCTGTTGTTGACGTATTTCAATAATCAGAGGATTACACGAGATAATCACTCATTCGGTTGTAGCAGGAGATTCGATCCAGTTTTATACATAATGCTTGAAAATGTATGCGTCCCCCCATGCTATGCTGCATTGTAGTCAAGTTCAAAATTGAAGACATTAAATGTATTTTTGATAGAGTTATGCTCGATGATTAACCGCTCATATCAACTTTTTATGCGAAGATCATGCAAAAATACTCTAATACTACGTCATTATGTCATCGATCTCAGAGAAACATAGTTTACATATTCATAACTGATCAGCAGTGATGAGTTCATACGGTGCTATCTGAGTGAAATTGTCTACTGTCAGAGTATATGCTCGTTGGGTAAGCAGCAAGCTGACTTATCATTCGATGCGCTTAACTGTAGTTTTTTGTCCAAAGGAATAGACATCCCGAGCTTCTGTGTTAGTTGAAAGCTGGGTAGTAGTAGAGTTTGACATGACGTTTGTTGTTATATTACAGGGAATTAAGCGTTCATACTGATTGCGATGTTACAGATGATATATACGTAAGAAAAGGTTTTGACTTCTAGCATGAAGTTGTGAGCAGCAGCGCTTTTAGATATGAGATTGAATCATCAGTTTCTACAGATAGATATATATCTAGATAGTAATGATAAACTAGGAAATCAGGTTTATTAGGTTACATTTAGCCGATACCATAAGTGTTCTTAATCACATCTTAACAGTGCAGTAAATTCCTGCTCGTCGATTGCAAACAAATTACTAACTGTCACTGTGGTTTTGTAATGTTTATTCTTGAGTCTAACGATACAAACTAACTACATATTATTCAACAATCTATATGCTTAATCAATATGTGTATCTACATGATATTTAAGCCTATACGTAATGTTAGTTTTAGTATTGATCCTGGAGGTAGATCACTAAATTTAAATATTGATGTGTTTTCTGTCATTTGATCAATTAGGTCATTAAGCATTTGAGAATCGTATCATGCTTCAATCATGGACTATAAAGAAGGCATGTATAGTCATATCGAAAGACTACTCAGTGGCGGTGTTGCGGCGTCTAGGGCGGCTAGGATCGATCATGCTAGTATCTTCTCAGAAATCTCAGTCTTATAACGATGATCGCCTGACTAAAATTAACAGTCTGGAAAGGAAGATACAGGATCTTAAGAGTCGCGCAGAGCGTCTGAGAGCCACTGCAGCTGCAATGCCGGAACACGCAAATTAGGATTGGAATCGAACAGTATCTCTAAGTAGTATTGAAACCGCTGTGGTATCATTGAGCAAGCAGTTTGCGATGTACGACTCGAATCATGAAACGTTACTGCGGGAGTTGTCGAATCTAGAAATCGAACTTGCTGTTTTGTCGATGGCTGTGGAAATTATGAAAGCTGATGACATGACAAACTCGGTCTTTGACAATGGAGAAAACAAAAGCGATGCTACCAATAAATTTTATATGAGTTACGCGGAGTCCAACGTTATTTCCATAGTTGCGGGCGTCATAGATGAAGAGGTGATTGAAAAGTTTATGCGGTCCATCCTACGTCTTGGAAGAGGCAACATCATTAGTTTAGTGCATCACATTAAAGACTCTGACAACTACAATAGTTTGCTGCAGATAAAACTAGACTTCTTGTACTGCTGTATCATGGCAGCACAAAGTCTAAAATACATCAGAAAGGTTTTGAATCTTTGCGCTGCATTCAGCATCAAGATTGTGAAGTGGCCTCATGATCTCGATGTTACTAATACGAATACGTTTCAAATCAAAGATCTAATAAGGAAAAAGTTAATGCTCTGAATGTTTTTGAAAAGTTTTACTATGATGAGCTACTGCTGATTGCTGGCAATGCGACGGATACTCCTTCATTGCTGAATTCATGGCAAGAGTTTTGCACAGAGGAAAAAGCGATTGCACTAGCACATTTATCATTGATGGCTTCTGAATCTACTGTGTATTGAAACTGTTGGTTCCGAGAAGATCAACTCAACGCTATCAATCTGGAGTTGAAAAGAATTCAGCAATCTGGTACAACGATTTTCTTCATTCAGCTGAACTCATCAGAGGATGATCTGCTGCCGACTTTGTTTCAAGAAAATTCATTCACTGCTGCATATCAATCAATTGTAGATACGACTGAAAACCCTCTTACAAGGAGCTTAATCCGGCGTACTTTAGCATTTTAACCTTCCCATTCCTTTTCGGATTGATGTACGCTGACTTAGGGCACGGTATAATTCTGACCTTCGTAGGACTATGCTTAGTTTGATTCTACAGATGGAGTCCAAACAGCAACAGCGAGCTGCTTGATATGCTCTTTGGCGGACGGTTTATGATTTGTTTGATGGGGCTCTGTAGTATATACACTGGTCTGATTTATAACGATTTCTTCGGTATGGCGTTCGAACCTCGTTCCACTGCGGGCAGCGGAAATTCTGTTAACAACAGTGTTGCGTTGTTTGGCATCGGCACAGAATGGGAACTCAGCAAATATGAGTTGGAATTCATGAATTCTTTCAAGATGAAAGTTTCAATTGCGATCGGCTTCATCCACATGACGTTAGGCATACTTCACGAAGGCGCGAACGCGTTGTATTTCCGTCGTAAGCTAGACTTCTACTTTGAATTCTTACCACAACTGATAATGATGGCCGTTATAGTTGGGTACCTGTCCTTTTTGATCATTTTCAAATGGATTTCTGCAAACGCTCTGAAAAAAGAGCTAAGTTTGATCAGCGTTTTGATATCAATGTTCATGTCGCCCAACTCTAGCGATGGTCCACTATTATACAAGCACGAGCGCACTGTCGAGAAAATCCTTTTGTACTTAATATTGTTGTGCATACCTCTCATGCTGATCTCTAAACCTCTACTAATAATTATGAGAAACAAACGATTTCAAAATACTCAAGATTCACTTGCGATTGAAACCAATTCAGAGCTGCATCAGAGCAGAGTGCTTGATCGCATTCCTGAAGATCAAATTGTTCCAACTAGCAACCATAAAGAAAATAACTCTGAGATGATCGTTCATCAAGTAATACAAACAATAGAATTTACTTTGGGGTGTTTGAGCAATACTGCGTCATATCTAAGATTGTGGGCACTTACTCTGGCGCACCAACAACTGTCAAATGTATTTCTGGAACAGATAGTGCTCAATATCTGTCGAGCAGTAGTAAAGCCTCATAATGGAGTGCTGCAATTCATCTCTGCAATTCTAATTCTCACAGTTGGCATAGCGTTTTTCAGTGTAGTGACTCTTGGAGTGATGCTTTCTATGGACGGGCTTGAGTGCTTCCTCCATACCTTGCGATTGCATTGCTTGAAATTTCAAAATAAATTCTTCGACGGTAACGGTCTGGAATTCAAGCCATTTTGCTTGCGTAGCCAACTAAGGAATTCTACGAACGTCTAGAAATCGCACCACATATCGAGATTTTAGCTTACGTTGCTCATGTTACGAATATTTTACGTCTCTGCAGTGCAACCGAGTAATATTTATTGATTTGTATAAAGGCTGCAAATTTGGCGCGCGAATCTGAGATAATATTCTTATGATCTAATCAGATTCAGTTGAGCAATTTCTCAATGATGCTGGTTGCAAGATCTGCATCTGTGTTGCTTAATGCATTGTTCGGCTATTCGACTTTTTTCAAAGTAGCTAATGGCAGCCATCAAGTGGTTCTCCTACCTTTAAGTCGAAACTCGAAGTCTCCACTTGTGACTGAGGTTTCTCTTGCATTCTGCTCAGCGGGTAGTGGTATTCTTACACCGGAGTCAAATTTGGTAACGCTACGTGATGTGTCGTTGATGCCTACTAAGGATGTTGGTGATTGCGAACATGGTGAATCTTTAGCTTTAGTTGGCAATCATCTTTCTTGTTATCTCGTTTCTTGTCGTTCTACCAATGACACTACACATACTACTCTTTTTGCAACGAACGGAAGCGAGGAAATGTATGACATCCAGCTTTCGCTTTCTGCTGCTGAGAGGATACGAATTGAATACAGTTTTTCTCCGGTTGAGGTGAACAAGTTTAGTTTGTTTTGACTGGCTGCCTATACGAGCTATGGCAGCAGATTCACTAGTTTGGCCGGACTTGAGATTCGGTGGTCGCTTGAAACAGGAGGCAAGCAGGTTCAGGATGTGACGTATGACTGGGTTGAACTCAGTGCCATCAGCCGAGCGCAGTTGTCAAGTGGACTACAAACGGATGTTTTAGGACTGATTTTTCTTGAGCCGGGCACTGTTGAGATTGGTGCATATATAACCTACAAAGACAGTTCAACAATTGTAGCTGAAAAATTGTTTTTACAGGTTGTACCAGATGTAACGTTCCTAGCTAATCTTAACCGCACTGCACTCATCGAAAATAGCGAAGTGCGGACATTACTTTGTTCTACTGGAGTTGACAGTCATGGCACAGGTGAGCGACTTTCTCAGGGCATTGCGTCGGCTGGACTGAAACTTCATTTTATCAGTTTACATCTCGACAAAGAGTTTCAGACTGTCTTTATACTGTTAGCAAACCTTATAGGCGGCTTAGCCTGTCTCTCCGATGTAATTAATCTATACGAACATTAACTACAACATGATTTGCCCATGTCCTGCATAGCTGCGCAGTTTGATATCGCCACTCTATCTACTCTTACGACTGCCTGTGATACGCTAGCTTTCACTAATCGGCCGGGCCGAAATTTTCTTGTAGTTCGATCTGGTGACCGGTTTGTACTTTGTGTTGTGCGATCTAGAATGCTTGATAGATTGCACCAGGAGCCTCTTTTAGCGCAGCTTTTCACATGGATGAGCACTGCTGATGGTATGAGGTACATGTCTTTGATCGAGGTGCAGATTTTGCTTAGAAAGGCTTTGGGTGTCATTTCAGATTGTTCTGCAGCAACTTTATTGCTAGATGACGATCCTCACTTGACGTTATATTTAAAACCTGTTGGTAGACATGACTTTGCCTGGCCTGAAAACTACAGTATTGAGCTGAAATGCTACGATGGCAAACAACTGGTCTCTTGTGCGTACGAATATCGAGATGGTTTTATCTACGTGAGGCGCGATGAACTACTCAATGTTTCGCGCGTAGCGTTGCGTTTTATAGATGATCAAGGCAAAATTTTATATAGTGGTTCGTTCAGGACAGATATGAAGAATCTCACAGTCGAGGTTTTTCCGGACCGCACTTTCGAATATACTAGTAGCTTTAATGCCAACGGAGCGAACCTAGCATCACCAGGAAAGTTATTGGAAACTTCGGTCTTTGATCTGATGAACCATCAGCAAGCGCAGAACACTGATACAAAGGAATCCAACACATTGAAGCTCTCCAGCGGAAGAATTGTTTTGGCACCGAACGCTGTAGGAAAGACGCTGCTGCAGGTTGCGGGTAATACAATGATTGAAACCCAAGATAAGACTATTTGCGATATCCGTAACGTTGATGGCGTTTACGTTATAGAAGCAATGAGTTTAGGTCACACTTTGCTCATGCTTACTGCACAGCAGCAAAGGCTATACGTGCTATGCACTGTTACAACACAATCTGCTTTGCTTCTTAGTGCTCGTGATGTGTATTTTGCGGACATATCTGAGGATGGGAGCATGTTAACAGCGTCGATTCCTTTATTTTATGAGTTTGCGTCTGCAAAACCTGAACCCTAAACCCCCGATTGCAAATTCTAAACCCCCAAACCCTAAACCTTTAACCCTAACCAACTAGCATTAGTGTATATATCTTTTTACTCTCGATGTATAGCTCTGTCTGGCGTAGCTAAAAAAACAGTTTGGGATTGAATTAGTAGACAATTGATTTACTTATCAGCCTACTCGTATATGAGATGACGGTACTCTCCTCAGTATTACACTGAAATAATTTAATGCGCAGGTTACCGCAAATTACTGTGTTCAGTGCGCTCTTCGCTAAGCAAATACATTTCTATGCATTTCACCTCGCACGTAATAATTTGTATCCAGAAGCTTGAACAAATGAGCACTAGCGAACAGCCTTTCAAGCCTCATGTAGAAGGCTGCGAAGTAAAAATTATAACTTTAGATCCACGTCCGAAATCCTAACTACGTTGAACTATTTTACATGTAATTAACACATGTTAGACCCTATCACTATCTGATAAACTAGTACAAACCTTGCGGTATTGTTCATTATGACACACACCAATTTACACATAAAATACTGCCTACAAAAAGCAATGCTGCAGTTCTCCTTATCAATTTTAGATCCAAATCTTGTGTAAGAGATTCTGATACAGTGATCTGACCAGCGTGGATTCCTGGATGAGCACAACCGAACTATGTCACATTGCATGTGATGTACATGATTGGCAAACGACAATACAATCTAGTATCACCAGCATCACACAACCTCAACACATTGACCATTTGCTTGTTGGTAATACAACTCAACATCAATCTGTTCCCACAAACATGTTACTGACGCATTTACCAACTTTCGTTTTCAATGATCTTCACATTTAACTATCGATAACCATCCATGCGATTTTACTACACCTAATGCAACATTCAAACTACCTAAGCGAATTATTTCTGTTTGTCTGCTCAGCATTCACTAAATCAATTGCAAAAGAATTCTGGGTTCCGAGATACCGTAATCCGACGCATAGTCGATATGTCAGAATTGATGCAACCACTCAACATATGAATCTTGCGAAACGAAGTCGCATATGGTGATGCAATCGATCCGCTTGTCTCAAATGGTGTTGTAGCTTATGTGTATCTACAGTTGCGTTCGTAGCATCTGAGCCGCCAACTGTTTCTGTTACAGTAGGTTTCCTGTCAGTTTTAGACACGGTTGTACCATGTAAGCTGCTAAACGCCTTCGTATTTATGAGCTACGCAATAGTAGACCCGATGTTAATCAAAACAGATATAGCTGATATCGTCATACTCATCGGTCTCTCTGTACCGTTCATAGTGCTTACTGCTATTGAAATACTAAATGAGAACACGCTTATGGCTTGCTCGTACGGTTAAATCGTTTTAACAATGCCATCTATACGAGACTTCTAATTCGTTTGAACTGAAAATCCTAATCACATTATAATCATATGGTTTAATGGTTCAATAATCTGCGGCATTGCATCATCAAAACCTATTTCGAGTTTTTTAGCATATAATGGATAACAAATTTAGCTGCGATTATGTTAAATAGTCACACATTCTTACTGCTTTTTAGGACAACTAATTTAAGTCAACCTCATAGCTCAGATATTGCATTTCGTTTCACTCCCTTATTATAAATTCAACACAGTGAAGAGTAAAATTAACATGTAAAATTAAGATCATTCAAATCTGTCAAATTTATAGACCGTTTCGCAGAGTATTAGCATGATACATAATTATGCATGATTCGCAACTGCAGTTTTACGCAGCAACCTATGAGTCTCTGATAAGATGTGTATTGTTAGATCATAGTTTACAGTTACAGTTATTATATATAGCGCACCTTGTAGTCAATTTTAGGTCGATTCATCAAGTTTCATGCATAAAACCAAATATGCTACATTTGCAACGCGTTACAACATTGCAATAGAGGTGAATGAATAAGCGAGATTAACAGTGCAAAACTCAGCTATCTTATAAAGAACTATCTGTCTAAAAATTTCATAATCTTGTTCGTTATATATCTTTTTCATAATCCCAATTAAGAGTTCTATTAATTATTTAACTATATTAATAATACTATATTTACGATTGAAGCTAGCTGTAAATTAGAGGGAATATTATATATACAACGTTAAAAGTTCTATAATCACATTATATAAATAGCTGCACATAGCAAAGAAATATAGTTTCTTCACTGACTATTATAACCATTAAACGATCCAGTTTTTTTAACAATTCATACGAAATTTTGGCAGCCAGGTGCTTTCAGAATTTACGAGAATTGATTGTAATCTCATAATGAAAAACTACTAATTTATAGATTTATATTATAACGCAAGGTTAGCTGCTATAATAAAATACAACAGTTTTTAAAGAAAAATACAAGGTACTAATTTTTATAGATAGCTGAAGAATATTGCGCTATTCTCTATATAAAGTACAAGAAATATTAAAATGTGCACACTTTTCTTCAACTTTAATTATTTTGCAATCAGCACATTTTGAAAAAAACTTTTGCATCATGCTAAAGCAAGTATACTATAATGACGTATTAAGAGGAGAAGGCACAAATACTATTTCAGAAAAAAAAACTGATATAATAGTGTAAGATCTTATTTTAGCTTGATAGTTTGACTTAGACAACAAATAGAAAAGAATCCCGTTGTTTGCGTAAACAAAAAAAGTGATGGATTCATACAGATAGTAAAGATTTGTTAAAGTAAAAGCTCCATCAGGGCGAATTATTCTGTGCAGAATTGAAATTTCTTCGCGTTCATTTCGAGCAAAGTTTTAGATAAATTGGTTACAAATTCCTTGATTAAGCTATGATATAACATCTTTAGTTCATTTGCAGAGGCTACATTATGAGAGTTCGCAGCAGTAGATGCTCGAATTGAGCCGAACAATCGGGTGAGCGCTGCTTTTGATTCTTCGTAGTTACCGAGGAGCAAGTTCATGTACAAATGAATCAAATCAACATGCTGAGAATTGGTCAGATGTTCTTCTGCCATTAGTGTTAGCAACGACAACCATTGATCGCTTCTAAAATCTTCTGGATTAGTGAACAACTCGTTTAGTGCTCGCTGCATGGCAGACAGCAAAGGCAGAAAGATGTGGCGTATGATGTTTTCGTCCCAATGCGCTTGAAAGCGAGGATCGTTCATGGCCATTGCAACGCCAGTGAAAGTGAAAGGCCGGCGGTTCGTATCGGCAGCGTCACGTTTTTCAGTATCCTTAGGGTTAACGGTAGTATCAGGCTTAGCATAAAGACTTGACAGTAACGTCTTCAGCACATGAATCGATGATAAGATGGAGTACAAGTAGACATCTTCATCTGTTAATATCTCAGGTAAAAGACTCTGAGGACATTCATATTCTGAAGGATTGGAGTAATTGTCAAACTCGGGGTGGCGAGCATTTCCGGATCTTTTTTTAAGATGAATGAAATGAGTTTCTAGTCCATTTATAGACAACGTGTTTGATGGTTCAACTGGAATGTCAATAAAAAGCGGCTGCCTCGATTCGCCATAAGTAGTTGCAGACTGAACAGTTGTCGCAAACAATGCCGTCTTCAATGTTGATTGAGAGCGGTATTTCCTTGAAAACGCAGTGCTGTGGGAAAAAATCATAAATAATTAAATAGAAAATGTTATTGCATAGCGCTACAGTGAAAGTTAGAAATATATTCATTGATTATCGAGATTTGTGCGCTTTTTTACTACATGTTTGTTATGGTTGAATAGGTTTGATGATGAAATAATTTGTAAGAAGATTGCAATCGCATCTGGTTAATACTAGAATTTTTTTTCAAAACCCTATATCTACTTCTTTTTCATTAGTGGATGATCTAGATAAACAAATGATGCTACGACTACAACCTATTTTATAAGCTACAATTTTGAATGTTTCACTACTTTAGTCTGATCCGAAACTGATCGAAGGAATAGCGCAGAAATTCTATTGTGCAGTGATTTACATTTGCAAACACGTGATATACGTTTTCACATAATTATATCAAAACAGAAATGACCGTATATCTCCATCAGTTTTGTTTCTTTAACACACGAGAGTGCAATCCACTTTTGTTTTTGGTGGCATCTTAGTTGCGTTTGTCGCAGCAGTCTAGAAGTAAATTACAGTGGTGCATCTGTTCTATTTTTTATTGATATTTGAGAGTAAGATACCAAACTAATGGTAGAGTACACTGAAGTAACAAATGTACGGTGCGAAGATGGTGGATTCAAACTTGTAACGCAAAACCCAAATGAGCACATTGATGATGTTTTCGTAGATGGAATAAAGTCAGGATGCTCTGTATTCTGGATGAACTGCTGTTAAAAAGGTCCTGCTGGGAATCGAACCCAGATTTGAGGAATCAGAATCCTCAGTGATAGCCATTACACTACAGAACCGATTGCTATTATTGGTGGTTAGTGGATTGCGCATCTAGCAAGCTTCTAAGGTCCTGCTGGGAATCGAACCCAGATTTGAGGAATCAAAATCCTCAGTGATAGCCATTACACTACAGAACCTAATGAATCAAAAAAAAAACTAGGCAAGTCAATCAAGTAGAGGATTGCCATTGCTCAAGTTCTAGCTCTACGTCGATGTTATTTACGTCAAAGAACGTTTTACATCCAGAGACGAAGTCGCGATTTCCACAAATCTTAAAAAGTCCTATTTTGGTAAATTGGAACCTGCAAAGTTTGATAATTCTATTCAATGGCAACCGTGCTTCCCTGCTTTGGGCAATTATTTGCAGAGCAAGTCTAGGACCGACAGTGTAAAGCGTTTTGTCTGTGCTAATATAAACATAAAGGTTCACAAAGGCAACCTCGAGTGATTTCATAAAGCCAAATAACTCTGAGAATATTGAACGATCGCGGAAAAACATCAGTCCGATGGGGAAATCATATCTAGCGGATTCTCTGTTTCTACTTGCTCGAAGCCGAGTCATCAAAATGCTTCGAATATAGCCACAGGCCGAGGTAGACAAGATGTAAGCTGTGCGACTGCTTGTCTTCCTATTCACATTTATACTTGGAAGCGATTCAATACACACGAAATCTAGACTTTTTGTTATGTGAAATTGAATTGCGCTTGTCGTACGGCCTAGGCGACCTGAGAATTCGTGGCGCTTCACAAGTAAATCAAAACTAGTGGCATTGCTCTCAAGATCAATAGCAGAAGCAATTGTGTATTTGCGAGAGGTGACAATAGGCAGCGCCATGAGAACGCAGAAAGCAGAAGCGGTGCAGAGTAAGCGAGTTGTAAACAGTTGCTCAACAAAATGTTCAACAGTATTATTTAGCTTAGTACCAGCATTCTGCTGTAGCTTTGATGGCAGCGAACCGAGCAGGCACTCAAGCAAATATGTGTTCAGTTGCGAAGCACTTGCTGTCCAGTCGATGAATAGTTCGATATAGTCTTTTAAGCAGATATTGTGGGGAAAATGTTGCGATGGGAGCTGTATGTACTGACTCATGTTGAGCTCTGTGTCAAGCAGAAAAGTAGGCATGGGGTATCTAGTGTAGATCCCTATAGTCGCGCCTGGGGCAATAAGTTGCGGTTTAAACGTGCGCACAGTAACCAGATAGTAGGTCAAACATTGAAAAGAGAGCCTGCGTATTTGAGTGAATGCGGCTTTTCCGTCTCGGAACACTAAGCTTGTTCCAGAGTCTGAGAGCAAAGACGGTGCAACCGGAGCGGGGACTAGGTAGTAAGCGTCTAACGCAAGCTTATGTGCCGCAGATACAGCGTTTCTCAGCGATTTCTCGCTTGTGCTATCTATAGCATACTCAGCTAGAATTTGCGACACATAAGCTTCAACTTCGCAAGTAGTAGCTTTATCGTATGTGACGAGTTGACAATTGAACTTAGATTGTTTCATTGCTGTGTGTATTTGCTTTGCAGCTTTGCAAAAGTTTGCGTACGACTTGTCTCCTAGTCCAATTACGTAATGATAACTGGAGTGCGCAAACTTATTGTCAGTTCTCCGACTCAGTAAAGATTCAGCAAACTGCAGCGCTTCTGCAGGGATGTTGCCATTGTTGCATGTCGGAATGAGATAGAAATTGCAGCTGTGAGAGTGCAGTTCCGGCGAGTTGTAAAAAATTCGTTCAGTTTGGCAGAAAATGGCAGAGGACGCGGCGACTCGCTCACGTAATTTAGCAGCCAGCATTGGAGTTGACCCATATTCCGTACAGAAGTAAATAAAACACCCGGCTATCCGTCTGGCTTTTGAGTAGTCGCTAAAGCATTCGCGACGGGTACTCTGCAAGTACGAGACTAACTGAAAACCGAACAAAACACCTTGGAGGAGTTGCGCGATATTCAGCAAATACGAATTGCAGCCCATAAATTATTTAGTCATTTGCATCCCAATGACCTCTTTTGTCGAATCGTGGACCTCCGCTAGGTTTACACATGACAATTTCATAAATGTTCAGCAACTCGCACAGAATTCGGATCGCAAGCTTTATAGTTTCAATTTTCGGAGTGTATAGGTCGAAAATAGGACTTGCGAGCTGCGCAAATATGATGTCTTGCGCATCGTGCGGTGAGGCGACGTCGCGAAGCATGACGGCAGAGCCCGTCAGATTTACGCCGTAGAGCATGTCAGGTTGTTCAAGCAGCTTAGTTTCGAGCGCCTTCAGCGCCGCGGTGCTGTCGGTGCCGCATGACTGGCTGAGCTTGACAATACAGTTTTGCAACCCTGTTGCGAGCGCTGCGTAGCACGCAGCGTGGCGCGGGTGAGACTTGCTCTGAGACTCTAATAGTTTTGCAAGTCGAAACTCGGCGCACCCGGCGCCCGGGACCACGTAACTAGACTCGCTCACGCCGGACAACACAGCAAGCGCATGTTTGACGGCTGACTCAGATTCCTCCAAGTGCAGGTCGCTACTACCACGCAAAATGAGCGTGCCGCAGTATTGTTCCACGGTCTCGACTAATGTAAACAACCTGCCGCCAAATTCCGCGGGCTCAAGCTTTGCGATAAGCCCAATCTCGGACTCGGCGGGTTGCTCACGATGCTGGATCACGGGGACGTGCATGCTGTGTGCGATGCGCTTTAGCTCAAACTTCGAACCGGTCGATATACAAACGCAATCGTACTTGTCCAGAAAATGCAGCGAGTGCGCGCTGACCGTACCGCCGCAGAAGAAGACGTTGACTCCTGCGTCGACGTATGACTTGATGACGGCATCGCAGATGCTATCCTCAGACCGATTGAACTGGCGTACGTCATCGGCTGACTGTAGCAAGACCGTGTTCGATGTTTCGAGTTGCTCGACGCAGATCTGGCCGGCTAGCACGACTGCCTTGCCATTCACGATACTTTGCCGCTTTGTGCTTGGCAGCTTCGCTACGCAGCAGCCATTAATCATGCGGTTGTCAAAGACCGCGTTGCCCGTCACACGGACTATGTGTAAAAAATCTGCGTCCAGCGGTGCTGTGAATTCCTTAGTCGAGCCCGCCAGCACGGGGTACATCAAACCGGCCAGTTCGGAAGCGGCTTCCGGTGATGCGATTCTCGTGTTAAGGAGGTTTAGTAAAAAACCCAGCGAAAAGCGAAATGGCTGCCGCGGAAGCTGTTGCGCGACAGATTCAACACTACTGTGGATTGCGGAGAATGCGGAGATCAGATCGCTGCTCTTGTGGCCCTCTGCGATCAAGTTAGCGGATTCTTTTGCCAGTGCGTCAACCAGAATAGAGAGTAGTCCGCTGCAGTCGTTGTGAAGATCTAGGTGCGCTTTCGCCTGAATTAAGAACAACTTGGCTGCGGGGTGCACCGCCTCGAGTTGCGAAATCACTTCGGAAGCTGAGTTGCATACCGTGCGTTTTCCGATGTGAGACTTCAGAATTTTGCGAGCGCATAACGGCCCATAGCAACTCGTCAGAGATGAGCAGAGCTTTGCGACGGCGTCGAGAATTTGCCGCACCGAGTCGCTGCTGCCATGCAGACAGCTGTGCCCCGCTTTGAGTAGCGAGCTTACGTTTGGCGACGCGCTGAACTACGTGCAGCTCAAAAGAACCTACCATTGCCATCTTCTCTAGACGTTTCGATATTTAGTTATAATTTCGACATATTTAAACGCGCGTTGTGCAGCTACTTGCAAGTAAAATTGGCAGACTGCTATGGTGCCCACGGAAACACGTTGCACGGTTGCCGCGCGGTCGAAACGCGATTTGCGGTGATATATAATTTGCGATAAAAATTTGCTTAGCTAACGTCTCGCCACTGCAACACCCTGGATCGGTGGTCGCGGAAAGAATCAGGCTGCTTTTTTCGTTTGAATCAGAACTTGCACGTTAATGAGCTCGTGTCTGACTCGCGAAGTAACCGCTACAGCGCTGTACATCGACGCCACGCTCGGTTTTGTTTGCGCTGTGGACAGCGCAGATGAAATGGCCGCGGGCGTTCCGGTGAAGGGTTGCGTTTCGCATAGTCATTATTTGAAGTGCAATTCCAGCGAGAAGATGTACGAGTACACGCTCTATCCAGGTCGGCGCTTTCGTGCGCGCGTTACGGGCGTCTTACTGGACCGGTTCTACAACTTGGTACCGATCGAGTTTTTTTGAGTAAGCGCCGATCTACATATTTGGATTTACGGCGAATATAACTGCAATTTAATTAGCCGATTTGAGCGCGGCGACGAAACTGTTCGGGCGCTGCGATGGAGTCGGTCAGACTACGGCAGCTGCTGCGGACATACGTGTCTTGCTCTGGTGCTAACTACAGTGGCGTGAGCAGCGAGCTCACAGCGTTTTTGACGCAATCGGGCAGCGTATTTTCGTTGATTGACTTGTTAGCCGACGAGTCAGAGACAGACGTGCTTTTATGCGCGGCGACTTTCACGTTTTTGGCGCTTAAGAGGTAAGTTCAACGGGCATGCAGCAGATGCTACGTTACGTACGCCGAACCACAGCTCAGTCTACTGGTGGACAAGTTGATCACTATTTTGTTCGACATGAGCCACAAGAACGCTCTGGACAATCGACTGTTCGTCTCAGTCTCGCAGTCACTAGGTCTCGTGGTTCTACAGTCGATCGCCACGTGCGGGAACGTGTCAACCATCGAAGCTCGACTAAGCAGCTTCATTGACGCTGACAGCAAGTACTGGATCAGCGGTATGTTTCTCTACCGCGAACTGCTGACCTCGTGTCTCGAGTGTTTCCTCAAACACTCTGTTGTCTCTGCGCCGATCGCTACTTATCTCGAGTCGGTAATCGAAAAGTGCTTTGCGCTGTTGAAGAACTCTCTGTCGAGCTCGATCGACCTACTGAAAGATCAGGCTTGGAAAAATTCAGATTTTCACATTTTGCAAGCCTCGCTCTCACTGCTGAACGTAGCGTTGTCCATCGCATTCGAAGCTGAGGACATCGAGAATCTCGGATATTTCAGAAAGATTTTAGATTTCGCTCGCATCACGTCGAACTGTTACACATTCGAATTCTTAGCGCTGCTATTCCAGTGCACGCTGCTGTTTACGGATCTTTGTAACAACCCTGCATACTACTCTCGTGAAGGCTTGCTGAGCGGCGAACTGAAGGAGCTAAACCACAATCTGGGCGCTGTGCTCTGCACGATCTTTTCGGTACACGGCCCGCAGTTGCCCTCCAAAGAAATGTTCAATGTTCATGTACTCTATTGCATCGACTTCATCACACTGCTGTGCGCTGGTTACGCGGAGTGCTACCAAGACCTGCACTGCGGAGCGCGCTTTGAAGCACTCACTGAATTCGTCAGCAAGCGGACCAGTAACTCTTGCCAAAAATTGTACTTACAGGGCGTGTGTGGAATTGCTAAGCTGATTAGCGACCGCGATTACTTCAGACTATTCTGCAACATGCTCTACGTTTTTGGGCGCAACGTATCTCTGCCCGAAATCCGTAATGTGCTTTACAAAGAAGAAATTATCCGCATTGAGGAAACTGGCTTCTGCTCGCGCTACATCGACCCAATAACTTTCGTGAACATTTTGGCTGACATCGCTAAACACAGCATGAGTAATTTCCTTTTCGTGAAGCGCGCCGAATCAGCCCCAGCCGAGCATATCTTCGAAGAGTTGAACGAATACGTGTTTCTTTCGTATCAAACGCTGAACTACATTACAGCTCTCTGTAAACGGCCGGTGAATATGGCCTTCATTGAGCAGTCGACGCGGCTCAGCGCAATTGTTGACAGCGTGTTGCAAACAGCTTTGTACAGTTACATCGCTGTAAGCGAACTCGTTCTTATGTTTCCTGTTTTCGACGTTCTGCAGAAAAGCGGAGTAATCGACTCGCAATTTTCAGCGGCCGGAGAATTTTCATCGAATGACTTAGAACAACGCATTGAGAACTCGTATAAATGCTTTCGAGAAAAAAACTTCCTGCTGTCTCTTAATTCAATCGATCCCGATGTCTTGTCAGGATTATCCAATCCTGTTCTCGACCCGAGTTCCTCCGGCATACACGACAACTTCTGTTCGCTCTTCAAGCTTCGCCCCGGCGAAGCGGCGGAGCTGCTAGTTAGGTACTGGTTGCAACTAAAGCTAGGTTTCGTTTCGTGCTTCAATCAGAAGCAGGAACTTTCGCGCGACGCGCTCGAGGCGCAGCTCTCGCTCTCGATGTCTCGGCTGCTGATCATCACGCAGTGCACTGCGTTTTTCTTTCAAGGCTTAGACGAGGTTCTCGGACCGTACGACCAGCTTTTGGCTGTCAAAACCGCGCAACCCGCCGGATGCGATTACTCGCGAGACTCGTTTATGCCTACATTCAGCACGTCGGATGCCGAGGGAGCTGAGGGAGGCGTGAACTTCGATCAGTATCATCGAGACGCTCTTGCAGTTTTGACTGACTGCATTGATTTGCAGTTCGCTATTCAGCAGCAGGCTGCGAGCGTGGCTAGCTTTTCGCTATGTTCGGAGATCTACAATGAAAACATGAAAAACTTTTTCGATGTGTTGAAACCCGGCATCAACTTTGCGCTTTGCTTAGGCGCTTCTAATGCATCGGGAGACTATTTGAACCGCGTGCTGCAGCCTTGTTTTCAGCTTTGTGTGATGGTGCTCAATTCCCCAATTCGCGGTGAGATTCGTCTCGTCGTGCTGAAACTGCTCGACTACATCAATCGCATCCATCTCCCCTTCGCAGAGAGCCGGATCGCGCCTGTAGGGCTGGTCCTTTCCGAGTCTCCGGCGATGCTGTCGCTCGTATCTTCGAACACGCCTGAAAACTCAGTGCTCAAGTTGCTAGACTCCACGGCTGCGAACTCGAAAGAGCGTTGCCGCCTCAGCAAGTTTTTCTTCAGTGTGCTAATGTACCACCTAAGCTCGCCGCCCAAGGAGCGGCAGAAAGAGGGATCGTTTGTCAAACTCACAATTCAGGAATTTTTAGACTTTACGTTCACTGCGCGCTTCAAGCACGAGGTTTTAGGCGCAGTTGCAGATTCGTCTGCAGTCACGAATTTCCTTACCGATCTGACAGCGTTCATCAGTTGCATACGGTCGAGCGCAGTGTTTCTCTGTACGATGCAATGGCTGTTGGGCCGCTCGGCGGAATGCGCAGAGCCCCGCATTACGCTGCTGACGTGCAGCATTGGTTTAGACAATCTCAGCGAGTCTCTTGTTCTGCTGCCTGCGCTGCTCAAGCTGCACAGAGCGTTGATTAGCCGCAACTGCGTCAACTTGCTGCTAGAATCTGTAAGCAATTCGGCTGCCAGCACAAACTCGGCTGAGATGCTTATCCAAACTTCTGTGACTAGTATAGGCCGCGTTGTATGCTACATGTACGAGCTGTTGCCGCTCATGCAGTCCGTTATGCAGACAATTTTGCTTGAAGGAGGCGGCAGCTCGCTTGACAAATTGTACAAATTTCTGAAGCAGGTGCTGGCGACACTAAGCGACTTAGCCGTAATTTGCTCTACAAAACGCGAGAAATTAGGCAGCCATCTGTTGCTGCGTGTGGAGCCCACTCTGCAGCAAGGTCCCAACGCGGTAGCGCAGCTGCTTGGAAATTATTATTTGCTGCTTAGTTCTGTGTTCGCGGTTTCGTTTTACCGCAAGGATGTGCAAACTGTTTTGCTGCGGCAGAACCAGACAGCGGAATCATTAAACGCATTGGTGTCGAATCTCGATTTCGGCGACGTGTACCAAAACCGGAGCGCACTGTGCGGCTTTTGTAAGTTCGATTTGAGCTTCGATGCTTTTGGTGAGGCATTCAGCCGATTTAACCCGGACTACTTTAGCAGCGCGTCACAAACGCAGATGTATAAGATTTGTCTCGCTTTGCATTACAGCCTGAAATACAGCAATGCGAAAAACGAACTAGCTGCGGTCCGTAGCGTTAACAACTGGTTCGGAAACTTAGCCGACAAGTTGTTTGCGCACTTCGGTTTGCACAGCAAGATGGAGTTGGCGTGTTTCGACGCGCTGGAGCGCCCTAGGACAAACGAAATCGCCGAGTTTTTCGCGTTCCGCGATGCGTTGCGCGTGTCCAGCGACGAGCGAAACTTGCTGACTGCTCTTCTACACGACCTGCTCGATTTAGCCGTGAATCGTGATCGTGCGATTACATTCGAGACCAGCCGAGCCGTGATGCTGCTGCTCGTTCTGCTCTCGGCGCAGCCCTGCGGCGAAACGGTCTGCTTTGATCTGGGGCAAATTCAATCGACGCACTGTGTTTTCGTGCGCTACTTGCGCAGCTGCGACACAAACTTACTCGGACTCGAGGAGTACAACATCACAGTGATGCAGATTTATTTAATTAGGGTCTTGAATAATTAGAGGGATGCTGCCAGCTGCGCGATGTTGCTGAGTACATGCGTTATCAATCTGCGCTTCATTAACGAGCACAGAGCAACCGCATTTTCAAAATACCTACATCGCACGTGGGATGCCTTTCTGCAAAGTTGCGTGATTGCTCGCGCAGAAAGTGGCGCGTGCTGCGCCCCTACTGTGCTTTCAACAGAAAACCGCTCAGAGCTCGTAAAGCACGCAGATTTGCTGCTGGACGCGTCGTACACCGCCATTTTGCAGTTTGCGCATGCCGTGCAATCGTTCACG